CTGCTCCTCTGTACTTCCTCTTGGGATACTTTCCCTTGAACTTTTGCCTGCTTACTTGACATCTGCATTTGAATATCCAAGATAATCTCATATTAAATTTGTCCTTTGGCTACTTTTATCTGTTATTTTTAAATTTAGGAGCTTTATTTCTCTTTTCATTAGATTTGGACTATGGAACCTGGTAACAGTTTGTTCTTTGACAATTTTTCTTCCATGGCTTTGCTTGCGTATTGTCTTTGCAGAATTTCCATTGCCGAATAGAATTCCCGCTAGAGGGCGCACAGGTACCACCTATATGTAAAAAAAACCGGGGCCTAGTAAGGGAAAACACTGAACAATTAAAATAAGAATATATATGTTCTCTGACTTTCCCTCCCTCTCTTCCTCCCTCCCTCCTCCTTATCTGTCCCTTCCTTCTTTCCTTCCTTCCTTCCTTCCTTCTTTCCTTCCTTCCTTCCTTCTTTCCTTTCTTTCTGATAAAGTCTCACTCTGTAATCCCACCTGGCCTGAAACTCACTGTAGGCCAGACTATCCTTGAACTTGTGATGACCTACTCAGCTCTGCATCCTGAGTGTTAATGTTCCAGGCATGTGTCACCATGCCCATCTGTTCCCTGATTTTCTAGTCATCTTGATTGAAAGATTTCATTTATTATTATTATTATTTTATTTATTTATTTATTTTTTGAGACAGGGTCTCACTACATAGCCCTGACTGGCCTGGAACTCAAGGCCCAGGCTGGATTGGAACTCCAAGAGATATCAGAGGTATGCCTGCCTCTGCCTCCTCAGGGCTGGGATGAAAGACATGTGCCACCATCCCCAGTAGAAGAAAAAAAAAATTTAAAGATTACAAATGTAAACTTTATTTTGTATAGAGAATGATCAGTTTCTCAATGGAAGTAAGTACGTACATTTTTAAGTATATTAAGATTTAATGAAAATGAAAGTAACATGCTTAATATGCACATGTCTGAACTAAAATTCTTCTGACCTCTGTGGGCACCAGGCATGTATGTGGTGCACAAACATGCATTCACGTAAAACATTCACACATAAAGATAGAAATAAATGAAAATATAAGATATGATGCAATAGTAAGTACTATAACAAAGATACAGGAAGAGTTCCCTAAGAGCCTGGGGGCGGGGAATGAGAGTAACTATGGTGACAGGCATTGTCGCAGAAGACATTTGTGTATTCCAGGCTAACTTGCTTTCATCACGGAGCCTCAGAATGTCTCTGGTGATAGACTTGTGTCCTCGCTCTAGAACAAATGTTCTGTTATCTGCTACTGCTGTAGAGCCCTTGTAGGATTTAGACATTTACATGCAGTAATCCTGGTACAGGTTTAGCATCTCTAATCTGGAAATCTGAAACCCAAAGTGTTCCCAAGTCTGAACTTTATGAGTGCCTGTGTGATAGGAAATTCCACAGGTAAAATGCAGGTGCCCTAAAAATATTATATAGAATTACCCTTTAGGCTCTGGAGTTAGGGTGAGACTTGAGGGGATTTTATGTATAGACCTGGGCCCCATCCCCAAGGTATCTCAATATGCCTAGACAGATAGTCCCAATCTGGAAGACTCTGAATTACAAAGGGACACTCTGCCCCTCTTGCATTTAGCACAGCGCCTACAAATAGAGAACTGATACCTGATTATGGGAGGATTAAAAGGATGTGTCAGGAATGGATTCTTATTATACCTACGGAAATACAAAAATCTAGAAAAACATCGGAAATGGGAAGTTTCTGGGTCTCAGCCATTTTAGTTAAAAGATACCCAACCTATTCTATACCTATTTAATCTTATCTCATCTAATTCTGGAGCCAAAGGACACCCACATTATTAGTTCATTTGAGTTAGGTAATGGGCATTAAAATGAGAGGCTGAAAAATTTGGAGAAATTAAATACTAGCCTTGCACCAAAGAAGTCTGCTGCCTTGGGCCTGGGAAATCATTGAAATCCCAGCAGGCAAATACCAGCATACGTGACTGAGCGTATGGGCCCTTTGGCATAGGAAGCTTTATCCTGAGTTGGCTCCTTAAGCAAGGATTACTAACTTATCACAATGTTCTATTTATGGGAAAATAAACTGTCCTCAGTTTATGTCCTATGTACAGCCAGGTGTGGGTTTGCATAGTTATGATGAAGGATGTGCATTTGGATGAGCCAGATGAGTACCCAGAGGAAGGAAGGGCACATAGAAAAGATGAGAATCCATGTTGCAGAGCTGTGTCCTTCCGCACTTTCCCAGAGCAGTTTTGAGAGCAGGAGACTGACAGCTGGAAACACCAGAAAGCTGCATTCTCAGGCACCCTCGCTGATGATTTCATGCGAATGGTTTTATAGGCAATGAGCCTGGTTGAAGATCGGTATGTTTTAAAGCTGTAGAAAGAAATAAAAGGAATAAAAACTGAAGGCATGGTCTGATTTAGATGCCAACATTTCACTTATCTCCAGCATAAGTGACAGAGCGAGGAGGCAGGAGGAGACGTGAGGGATGCAGCACCTTGATACACATGTTAAACAGACAGGAAACTAACCGATGGACAGCAAATTCACATGAGTGCCTTTGTATTGTGTAACTGTTTCGTGGGTCTATACCTTTAATTTTCCTTTGTAAGACAAGCATTGAGAAACAGACACAAGATTTTAGCATTTTTATTAGGATACAATTATTTGTTTGTGAAGGCTGGAGGGAAATTGCAAGAATTCCAGATTGTTCCGTCAGAATTTCAGAATAATACAATGATAGATGAAACTTAAAGTCAACATAAACAAGGTAATGCTGTGGAAGCCAAGATTCTCAATAACGATGTTTATGCATTGTGACAGCTTATAAATTAAAAATCTAGCAAATCCTAGGACATAAACCCAGCCACCACTCGGAATAATGTAATAGAGGTGACTTCTATAAAGAGGGGGGTTTGGGCCATGTGCTATTGACAATGAAAAGGAAAGACATTTTGAAAATCGTATTTTATGATTACTTGGAGTATCCATATGCCACATAATTTAAAAGTTGTTATGGACTAATCAGGTTTTTTCCTTATTAAATTCATATGTTGAAATCCTGCTGCCCAGTGTTGTGGCATTGGGGTCGTGGGTCACACTGGCAGAGCCCTAATGCATGGGATTAGTGTCTTCACATAAGAGACTCCAACAGGCCCTCTCATCCTCTCTACAGTATGAGGACAAAGCAAGATGGCTGTGAATCAGGGGTTGGAACTGCACCAGGTCTGTTGGCCTTTGTTTTGTATTCTCTGGCCTCCAGAGCAGTGAGAAATTACCCCCACCCCTGTAAAACTAGTTAGTTAGTCTATGGTGTTTTTCTATACTGGTTTGAATGGAGTAAAACAAAGCAAAGACAAGAACCAGAAGTGACTATCAAATATTACAGAACTAGGCAAGTGTGGAGCTGGAACATACATTGACTATAAATTTCGATGTAAAAACTACCAACCTCCAAATCTTTGTATAATTCACCATTGTGAAATATTACTTAAAAGCGCCGAGGCAGAAATGTATATGCTGAATCAATTAGAGCTGGTGGTAAACAAAGAAGAAAATGAAGAGGAAAATAGAAATGAGTTAAAAATTCAAATAAGTGGAAGTGTCTTGTGCAATGAACCACTTAAAGGGTTTTCAGAAGCCGGAGGACAGGTCTAAACCTCAGAAGTGAACACTGAGGCATTTCAATGTGGCCACACAATCCTGGAGAAACAGACTCTTCCAGCTTCCTTTTCATCCTCTGTACATGGGTGAACAGATGATTGCAGACTTGCCTTCCAGGAACAAATTATTATTTTTTGTTTGAGAGTAAATACAGCAATAAGTGAAGCTAAGAACCATCTTCTTCCACCTTCTTTAATGTTAGATAATCGTGTTTTGTGGCCTGGGCGTTATCGCATGCCACCTCTCACTCCCATTGCGTTGTTCTTTTCAGTAGAGGACAGTCCTGGATTGTAGATCCTAGCAAAGGTGAACATTGGGCCACCATTTAGGGCGTATATTTTTCTCTTTCATTTCTTTTAGTGTATAGGGGAAGATTATAGAGGTGGTAATTAGCCAAGCCTGAGTTTGAAATACAGTAGTTACTTAACCAGTGGATTGCAATAGTAACTCTTTCCTTATCTGCCAAAACAGGGCTATTACCTTGAAAAATGAGAGTACTATTCAGGATCCAGATCAATATATTTGAGGTTTTTTTTTTTCTTCTTCTTCCTATTTTATAAACTATTGGGGCCTAACTAGAAGAGAAAACGTATTTGAATATTTTTGGAGCCTAAAGCTTATAGAAATCACCATGGCTTCCAATAAAACTTTCAAACAAATGGCATGAAGCAAAGTCTCACATAAATAATAAAAAGCAGCCACCTTGACAGCATGTGAATTAGAGGGGGTTTTAGGCAACAGATATTAAATCAACATACACCTCCAGGATTGCCTCTGCAAAACATTGTAACCGGTCATTCTTTGCACGTGTGTGCAAGAATTCCTGGATGTTGAGGGAAATTCAAGCCTCATCTCGGGGTGTTGTGTACTTGGAAGCCTTAACATAACGGCATCCAGGGGCCAGTTTCAAGAGGAGAGGCCTGTTTCTAGTCCTCAAGAAGGCTAGTCAGAGTTGAAGGCCCCAGAGGCCGGTGCCCAGTGCCAGCCTAGCTGCCAGGGCCTCGAGCATTCCTCCCTCCCCGCCCCCATTTTTTTCTTTCTTCCTTTTTATCAGAGCTCCTACACCCACCCCATCTGGCTGCTTCTTCTTTTCCATCTTCGCTTTCTCTCATAAGTGGTCAAAATGGGAAACAGAAGTATGTATTTGTTGCTTGGTGTGATGCTCAAAAAGGTTTTTTTTTTTTTAAATTTTAATTAATTAATTTATTTTTATTAAAGGGTTTAAAAAAAAAAAAAGCTCCAACAAGATTCTTCACGGGTTCATGCGCTGACCCCCGAGTCTTCATAAAAAGCAAACCTCCCCCACCGGCTTGTCATTTGCTACAGTGCTGGGGATGGGGGGTGGTCTGCGGCAGGGAGAGCCCGGGCTGGGGCTGGGTATTCGCACGGTGTGGCGCGGTGGGGTTGCCTAGCAGGGGAAGCCCGTCCCTGAGCGCGCGGGGCGCTGGCGGCGGCCGGAGGCGGTGGCTGGGACGCGGCGCGGTTGCCGCAGGGGAGCGGCGGCGGCGGGCGCGAGGGGCGGGGCGCACTCCGCAACTTCGGCCGCGGTCGCCGGGCGCTCTCGGCCGGCCCCGGCGCTCGCCGCTGCGGGGCTGCGGTGCGGCCAGCCTGGCCCGGCCCGGGTCCACCATCCCGCGCCTCCCGCGCGCCCGTCGGGGACCGCTGGCGCCTCCCGCGGGGAGTCCTCGCCCACGCGTCACCCCGCAGCGGCTGGGGGACCCTGGGACGTGCGGGGTCGCGAGGCCGAGCCGGGCGCCCCCCAGTGGCCAGCGCCGGCCCCCATGGCTGGGCCGCGCGGAGCCGAGCGGGCAAGGTGAATCCAGCCCCGGGGCCGGCAGCCGGAGCGCTTGGCTGGGGCGCCGGCTCCATGGGCAGCGGCGCTCGGCACGATGATGGACGTTAACAGCAGCGGCCGCCCCGACCTCTACGGCCACCTCCGCTCGCTCATCCTGCCGGAGGTAGGGCGCGGGCTGCAGGACCTGAGCCCCGACGGTGGCGCCCACCCGGTGGTGAGCTCCTGGATGCCGCACCTGCTGAGCGGCGTCCCGGAGGTGACGGCCAGCCCCGCGCCCACCTGGGACGCGCCCCCGGACAATGTCTCCGGCTGCGGAGAGCAGATCAACTACGGCAGAGTCGAGAAAGTTGTGATCGGCTCCATCCTGACGCTCATCACGCTGCTGACGATCGCGGGCAACTGCCTGGTGGTGATCTCGGTGTGCTTCGTCAAGAAGCTCCGCCAGCCCTCCAACTACCTGATTGTGTCCCTGGCGCTGGCTGACCTCTCGGTGGCCGTGGCGGTCATGCCTTTCGTTAGCGTCACCGACCTCATCGGGGGCAAGTGGATCTTTGGCCACTTCTTTTGCAACGTCTTCATCGCCATGGACGTCATGTGCTGCACGGCCTCGATCATGACCCTGTGTGTGATCAGCATCGACAGGTAAGGGCCAGGCGGCTCCGTCCCAGGCTCCGCTGGGGATGTGCTGAGCGCTGAGCCCGCGCCAGCCTTTCCTGGGAGGATCAAGCCAGACTTCACCGCGGGATGAACGGCTGAGCTTAAAATACAACCCCACACCCATTCCCCTACACCAACCAGGCAACTTCAAGCACAGGCTAAGCACACCTTTAAAAGAAACATTGAAATGTTTCTGGTTTAGTGTAGTGATGATTCTAAGACCAGAGTTTTTAAAGCACTAGGAATTCCACCAGGGGGTCCCTTTGCTGTTCTTTTCTTTTCTTTTTCTTTTTCTTTTCTTTTTTTTTTTTTTTTTTTAAAAGAAATTGGTTTGATGCTCTATAGCTCGACAAACCATTGCTGTCACCCATAAAATAATTTTTCTCTTGAAGAAATCAGTCAGGAGGAAAAAGGCACTGTGCTGCCCAGATTTTAGGAGCTACTCTGGACAATGAAGAAAGGCCTTTGAAGGGCCCTAGCATTGGGTTCTTAAACGCTGCACTCTTACAAATGCTAATTCTGAATTTTATTCTCGTGAAAATCTAGTTTCAGTGTTTGGCCATGCTGCCAGTTTCCTGCAAGCTTACCGACTGGAGCCTTACTCCTGTCTTAAAGGTTGGTTCTAGTCTTTCGTCATATTCCTTGGGAATCTAGGAATATTATCTGGAGAACTCCCCCAGTGGAGCACTGAAGCAGAGGTTGACCATCTATCAGAGATGCTGGGGAAAGGGAAAAAATGCTGCTTTGGGTGTAGAGTAGGAGAATCCTTGGAGTTTCTTCAGACTCTAAGAATGTAGAATTTTGAGACTGAGCTGCTCTTTGGCCTTAGATGTATGCAAACGACAACTTGAAGTATGGTTTCAATACTCTTTGACTACAGAACAATTCTGTTTCATTTGTAACTGAAAATATTAAACCTCAATACCCACACTAGGATTCTGCTGGTGATTTCAACCCAGCACAGGACTATACCCTGTGGTGTTTAATGATACAGAGAAATAGTTGCTTATTTTCTTGGTGGACCCGCAGAACCTCTAAATGTGTAGATCTTTCAGCATGGGGATAATAATTGATGCCTCTGCATTTAAAATGACTGTGCCTCAGAGGATGCACTGGCATGTAGCTGAGATTTCCTCCTTGAAAACATTGCTATGCGTGGTTTGTTGTGTTTGAAATGTTCTTCCATTTTGCTGCTTGACCAGAGTTTATAATTACTAAATAAAGGGAACCGTAGGAAAGGGAATGCTTGTCAAGAAAAAGAAACACATTGTAGTTGTATTTAGGTAGTGATTTAGATTTTTTAAAAATGATCCTGCCATTTTATGTCAATGCAGGAGCCTCTGACAGCAAACAAGGGATTATTTTAAGACTGGAGCATGAACTGCCTATGTGAGAATATTGGCACCAGACTTGGCAGCTGAAGTTCTGAATTACTGCAGTTAAAAATGATAAAAAACATATGCATTTACAGTCTGGCTGTGACAACAGGAATTCGGAGAGTGCACTCGATGTACATAATAAGTGTATCCATGAGTGACATGCACAGACACCGACTGCTCAGCCAACCAAAACTCAGTTCTTCCACGATTAGAGTCCTTGTCAGTGGACCTTAGTGTAATAAAACAAATCCCAAGTTATGCTGCACGTGACGGCTCTTGAAGCCTGTCTTCATCGTGCTAACCTGTCAGCCAGTGCTTCTGTTGCGGTGGGCACATGCAGGTTCTGCTGAGCTCACACTGTGATTCCTCTACTTGGGCTAAAGGCATCCTTCACTCCGCATGCACATGCAGTGTGGTGCCAGCAGGGTGTCCTGAATACAGCGTACAAGTTAATTCTTCCTGGCAAGATCTCAGCTTTTCATTAACTATATCCTTGTGATTGTTATGAGTTATGGCAATATAGGCATATATTTTATCTTTTTGTTCCTCTAAGAATTGACCCATTGGTGAATTCCCATCTAAGCAGAATTTTAGATTTGCATTATTTTTTAGATAAAATGAAAATTTTATACCACTTCATGGCTAAGCTCAAAGAACTGTGCCCACAACTGTATTTCCTTCGTTACTGTTCAGTATGTGAGTTCGATATTACCAGATCTACTGCAGTGTTGGAACTTGACTCTCTAGTTTCATTTTGCCTATCCCCATCCATTTCCTAAGAAGAATCTAGAATGTTCTATTATTATTATCATTAGAGTGAACATAGATTTATTAATGAAAAGTGCTAAAAAACTCCCGAGAGTGAGAGAGACTGTAGGGAAGGAACATTTTAATCTTTGAAAAAAAAAAAAAAAACAACCCATAGTTAAGATAAAGCTAAGCATAATAAAATACACATTCTTTTTCTTTTTTTCTTTTGAAACAAAGTCTTCCTATGTAGCTCAGGCTGGACTCGAACTCACAATCTTCCTGCCTCGGCTTTCCAGATGTTGAATTACAGCTATGAAATGACAATTGGCTAATGTATAGATCTTAAATGTCTTGTCCAACCCATGTGATCCACGGCACAGGAAAGATACAGTTTCGTCGTCATCCTACAAAGCTCCCTCAGGCCTTTCTTAGCAAGCTTTCTTTATAAAGTTGTATAGACAAGAGTGGTTCCAAACTTGCTGTGGAACTCCAGAGTGGCCTTGAACTCTTGACCCCCCTGTTTTTGTTTCCCAAATGCTTGGATTCTAGATGTGTGCCACCACACCCAGGTTCAAATTACCGAATAGACGGAGTCTTAAAACACTTGAAATAAACTTTATTTGTTGTTTTTGGAACTTATATAAGAAATAGAAGTATAAACTAGTGCAGAGGGTGAAGGGTATCCAGTTCAGGAGAGAGATTATCTCGGGTGGGTGCCATCAGGAATCAGCACACGTCAACTGTATTGAGAATTTTTTTAATGTCTCAGACATAGATGCAATCTTATTATTATAGTATAGCTTTTCATACACCTGAAATGCATTTTAAAACTTACATTTTGAAATACATATAGAACAGTGTACATTCTAAGTGCAGAGCTTGGTAACTAACAGCATATCTTTATAGTCAACAGTATAAAAAATTATAACAGTGTCAACCTCACTCCCCTCCTCTAGTTCTTCACAAAGTACAATGTAACCTCTAAGCTGGGCGGTGGTGGCGCACGCCTTTAATCCCAGCACTTGGGAGGCAGAGCCAGGCGGATATCTGTGAGTTCAAGGCCAGCCTGGGCTACCAAGTGAGTTCCAGGAAAAGGTGGAAAACTACACAGAGAAACCCTGTCTCGAAAAACAAAACAAAACAAGCAAACAAACAAACAACAACAACCAATGTAACCTCTATTAGGTGCTCAAGAGAGAATGAATGAAGAGTAAATTGTTTTGTAATTTTCATAAAGAACCCAGTGTCCTGACTTTGGGCATCATAACATAGTTTTGCTTGACTTAGAACTTTTAAAAAGGTAGAACTGGAACTGTATAGTATATGTTCTTTTTGTTTGTTTGTTTGTGACAAGGCATGATTATGTAGCTCTAGCTGGCACAATCCTCCTGCCTCAGCTTCCCTAGTGCTGGGATTATAGGCGTGTGCTACCATGTTCAGCTTTGGCACTCACTCCTTTGAATCCCCCTTCTTATGCTTATCATACTGTACGTTAGATTCATCTATAGTTTTAACCAATTAGCGATTCACTTATTTTTATTTATGAGTTGTATGTCAATGTACAATGATATAATCACTTGTTTTATATATACATATATAATTTAAGTTTCTAGTTTGTGCTATTATGTATAAAGCTGCTCTGAATGTTGATTGCTCATCAAGTCACTTTGCTGTGGTAAAACACCATGACCAAGGCAACTTATAGAAGGAAGAGTTTATTTGGGCCTATGGTTCCAGAGGGGTAAGAGGCCATCACCATGATGAAAGTGTGGCAGCAGGCAGGCATGGCAGCTGGAGCGGCAAGCTGAGGTCTCATATCCTGAACCACAAACAGGAAGCAGAGACAGCAAACCTGGAATGATGAGAGACTTTAAATTCTCAAAGCCCACCTCCAGTGACACACTTCCTCCAGGAAAGTCACACCTCCTAAGCCTCCCCAAACAGTGCCATCAGCTGGGAACGAAGCAGTCAACTGCCTGAGACTGCAGGTGACATGTCATTCAAATAGATGCAAAGCAGACATATTGAGGGGTTGATTATTTTAATTCAGTTAAGGGATGGGCTCTGTATTACTTTTCTTATTGTGACAAAATATCTGATAAGCAACTTAAAGTAGAATAGGCTTGTTTTGACTTATAGTTTGAGGGTGTGGTCCGTCATTGTGGGGAAGGATGGTGCCAGGACATAAAACAATAGTTCACATTGTTTTCACAGTCAGGAAGTAGAGAAAGATGGATAATGGTCTTATTCCTTTCTCCTTGTAATTCATTCTAAGACGCTACCTCATG